AAAGGACTGTGGGCTTCCTGTATGAACGACTACCCAATTATACTCAGAAACAAGGAACTTGAGCAAACTAGTTCAGCCATGAAGGAGGAGGATGTTTGATCTATTATACTTACGCTCAGAAGATAATATTCACGGACTATCAACCACAGGTGCGATAGTCGGAGCCGAATCTCCGCTTAACTTCACTTTTGAGCTGGTACAGGGTGACCACCTTCACTTTTGGGTTTGTAAAAATCTCTTTACTGATTAAAAAAAGAAAATAAGCAAAAGGAACGCGAAGGAAAGTATTGAGAGCATATATCTATGTAGTAGGTCAATCTAGGCAGTAACCGCCAAGAACCAGAATTTCGAATGATAAAATAACGTAAAACCATGCGAAATTTCCACTGTTATAAATCTGGTGGTTGAAGATGTCAGCAATTGCCACTTTAATAGCTTTTAAAGTATATGTGTTGTTCTACCAGAAAGTGGAGGAATCAGCCGATTTGAGCAGGCCGTTGAGAACGAGAATTTTAAAGAATTGAGCGATTTTGGGTTGCTTAGTGACAGCTGACGTTTAGACTTCTTTAAATCTGGAATGTTAAGGTGTGCAACGTTGCGACTTCATACATTTTGTAGAGTAAGGATTGCTCTATCAGACTGTATTCTAGCCGTACCGATCTATTGAGATACCGCCGATTCAGGCTCTTAAAAAAACAGGTAAAAAACCGCTTTTCAAACTTCAACAGCTCATAACTTCCTCAGAATTGCATGAAGTATGTTGCGACTTCATATGTTGGACTCTCCTCTTCAAGAGTTTCCAGATGATATATACTATGTGGGGGTTCGATTTTTTTGCGGCTCTAAACCGGGGTGGAGACTTTTCATACCAAAGTCTCCACCTCGCCCATGTTAATGTATTGGCTGGAGGCCACCAGTGGAGACTTTGTGATGAAAAGACTCTCCACCCCCGGGCATATGCCGTGAGAGGCGCGAAATCCCCACATATTTTACGTCTTCTGAAAGCTCTTGAAGAGGAGAATCCAACCTATGAAGTCGCAACATGATTCATGCAATTCTGAAGAAGTTATGAGCTGTTGAAGTTCAGAAAGCGGGTTTTTATCTGCTTTTCAAGACCCTGGATCTCGGCGGTATCTCAATGGATCGGTAGGGCTAAGATATATTCTAATAAGGCAGACCTTAACTCTATTAATCCTATGAAGTCGCAATATCACACACTTTCACATTCAACATTTATATGAGTTTAATTGTCAGCTGTCATTAAACAAGCTAACATGGCGTAATTTCCTTAGAATTCTGATTTCGGCGACTACCCCTCAAATCGACTCGATTTTTTCACTATCTGTTATGAAGCACAGTTGCTGACATCTTCAAACACCAGATTTATAGGAAATCTCGCATGATTTTTCGTTACTTTATTATTCAAAATTCTGGTCCTCGGCGCTTATTCCCTGGGTCGACCTGTTTTCTTCGCAGTGTTATAACAAAATTTACTTAATAAAAACGTAAAGTATAGCTGAGTTTTAGTCGACGGCGAGTTTCTAAAAGTAAATTGAACGAGAAAATAGCTTTGAATAACCTTTGAATTTGTTCTTCTTATTTCTCCTTTTTATTATAAATAAGTTAATGGAACTTCTGAGAAAGGAATTTTTTTTTGCAAAAAGAGTAGTCGAGCTGTGTTTCCTCCTCCCTCCCCGCTCTCCCCCCCCCCCCTCGGTCGACGTTTTTGGGAGGTGAGTGTCCGGCACTACCACCTTCACTTTTGGCCGGCCAGTGGTAGCCGAAACAATCTTCACTTTGGGGGGCCCGGCTCCACCTATCGCACCTCAGCTATCAACTCGGACCGTTCCACTTTTTCGAAGATCTAAAACGAGGGGCGGTACAGGGCTTTACAACCTGAGTGTCCCACCCGCCCAGCTAGGACGCCACGCTTAGGTCCGCGCAGCGTTCGTGGCGCTGGCTGCGCGTCGACTGAAGCTTGGCGAAATCCGGGCGATACGCAGCAAACGCCGCGCGCAGCCTGAGCGAGGCGACCGCGTTGGAGGAGCCGCGCAAGCTAAACTTGCGACTCTCAGGTTGAAAAGCCCTGTACAAGGAAGACAGCGATACCCACGACAAGGAGAAGTTTGGGGAGGAGATTCTTTGCAAACAGATTTACCAGTGACCTGGATAAACTGATGAGACGAGAAACCTGTGAAACATTCGCAGTTAAAGATGCTTTTGAAGGGCTATTTGTTCTCGCGTTGCAAACCCGTCTTTTTCGTTTTATGTTTATCATGTCTGTTTACGATCAATGCATAAAATCCTAGGTAACAAAACAAATGGAGGACTACTACTGCACTCAAGATCTGTCACATTACCAAGAAAATCAAAAGTTACTACTGACATGTTCACGAAATGTGCAGACAGTATGGGTATTCGAAAAATCGTGACGGCGCGACCAGCGCGTCAAGCACACACCTCCGGCAATCGCATTTTCTTGATATTTATCCCTACGCGAGTGGTTTTGTGATCACTATGTTAGTCTTTAGACAATGTAAGTGACTGAGCTAAGCACTGAGGTGATGCTCTATTGTATGAAGTTTATAATCCTGTGGACGCAAAGACAGCAGTCAAGTCGTTGTGACGGTGCAGGAGGCAAACGGTGTTCTACTACGGTATATGAAACGATTCGCAATAAGAGCAGCTCGCGCATCCCCTTCGCGTCCGCTCAGCTTACTTGGCTAGTCCGCCTTCGCCCGGCTACAGACTTTACATCAGGATTTAGAATCTCTCGCAAAATGAAGGCTTATCGTAATCAATAGCACGTCTGAGATCAAAGCTAGATACTTACAACTAGCATAGCTTTCCACAGCGCATAATCACCGCTATCGTGCAGCGGTCTGCAGAACGATGGTTTAATTGATGTGTGGTTCACAATGAGCTCATATTTGATCCATTTATTACTGCTTCGAAGTCTGAGAGATTGACTATTTCAATCAGGGTATTAGTGTATTGATACAAAGAAATGTTCAAATCTCCGATGCTGTCGCAGTATCTGACCAACCGTTTTGATAATGGTAAGCCTTGAAAAGACCGTAAAACGAATGCACCATGAAAAAATCTGAGTTTTAAAAACTGGCAGATCGAGCTCCGGAAAGCCACAGAAGTGACTGTTAATCCCCAAAATCTCTGGATTTTCACGACGTTCCCGTAAGGCATCTAGGATTTTCTTCAGAATGCAGAGAACATCTTTAAATATCTGACTTGTAGAACCAGATCTTAATCACCTAAGGAAATCTTTGAACAGCAGTCTCTGCTAGAGGTAACTGTGACCCGCTACTGTAGCGCACTAGCTTCTGTAATTACACAGCGCGGGAGATCATAACACTTATCACAAATTTGAATCAGTACTTGTAAGCTGTTTTGTTTTTGTTCGTTTCTCTACTTTTGAAGTTGTGTTTCTTATTTATATGAATGGGATATGTAAAGATGCGGTTTTCTTCCACAAGACAAAGCGAGTTAGTGGAGGCAGTCGTCTTCACCGGGGTTGTCCTTCATCTAATTTAGTGCAGTCAAGGCTGCAGTTCCGGAAGTACTAGTTGTGTTGATTCACATTGCAGTCTAGAATGGCACAATTTGATGTATGAGTGGCCTTGCTTATTCGAGTGATAAAGTGCTTGGTGGAGGAATTTTTGGGAAGTCTCAATTGAGGCTCATTATTTAGTGTAGGGTTTAGTCTAAGTACTTATATAATATTTTCAACAAAGGTAGTTTTCAAAATGGATTGGAGGAGAAGGTAGTAGTTGTTTCAAATGGAAATCAAGCAATTTTATAGCACACCAGGTGATTCATAAGCGCAGACCAACACTGTATGCGCACATGGGGTTTTTGATCCTTCGTAAAATTGACAAGTTTTTGTGTTAGAAAACGTCTCGCTCAGTATTTAGTTATGCGCGAAGATTTTTCTTCTTGTAGCAGTACGCGCGCTGGGAGCAATGCGAACCGCTCGCCTTGAGTTGTGTAGTCGACACGACGTAGACTAATCAAGTACAGACTATGTGATGCGGACCTTCTCGCATCGTAGCGGTGTCTATTCGGCATCCTGCTGTACTATTGTATCTATTTTGAATAAAATTGTTTAGCTCTAAAACTTACTTGTTGGAATAAACCAGTCTAACAATCATTGGCTTCAGAAATCACTGATACAAAGTGATGGTTTTGGAGATGCGCCGGCGTTGCCGCAATGATCATGAAGATAAAAACGAAAATTTGTTTGGCATGCTACACCTAACTTAACATGTTCACATCTGTTGTACACGAATTCCTTCTTTCTGGTCGCGTTGCAACAAAATTTGACCAAAATGCCCTCTGGTCCGCGCTGGTACTAAAATTCACAACCCATGCGCTCCGCTGTCTCCTTCAATCAAATAGTAATATGTGACTAGCAATGTCCACTTTTATGGAAACTGAAGCAAAAATTAGGTATGCTGAAATTATCTTACTTGCAGAATCCGTTATGGTTTCTGGTTCCTTGGGCTCTCGAAATTCTTAGCAATAGAAAATGAGAAAGAGTTAAAGACAGATGGTAGGACTAAAGGCTTCTTTGTATGTGGTTCTCTAAGACCTCGGGCAGAGTCACGCGATTTCATTGTTGCGATTCATCGCGACAAGACAAGTATTACGAGCTTATTGCTTGCCAATCTTCTTGTATTTCATTTGTGACAGTTTCACGATTAGTGCTGGGAAACTATCACAGTCGAAACGCAAGAAGATCGGCATGCAATGATATCGTTACAGTTGTCCTGTCGTGATGAATTGCGACGATGAAGTCGCTTGAACTCTGCCCGAGGCCTAAGGGGGTAGAGGTGTTAACAGTATGTCGTGATTGTTAGATCATGACTTCTCTGATTAGTGCCAGAGCAGGTCTTGACAAACCGCATTATTTTCTGATAGCGTTATTTCTCCTTTCCAACTAATATAGAAATTACTTTACACTACTCGCATAAACGTTATTTTTCAGTCATCTTGACTACAACTTCAGCTAGAACAGGCGAAAATTGCTCGAATTGGATCCTTTTGGTTACCAGAATTCAAGGTTAGTTTCCATTTTGCTTCGCACTTTATCTTGTCACTTTTTTGTTGTTTACGTTTTGCTCCTGCTCATTTCATATCTATTTTTTAATTCATGACAGGTGAGCTACTAATTTTTTATGATGTTCCTTTCATTTGAACGCATATATCTGACATACAAGGGATTCGTACTTCGCAGCTAGAACACCCTACCTATTTATCTCGTAGCTTAATTGTTCCAGATATGACATCGCATTGAATTCTGATTGATAATGGAGGCTAAATGTCAGAAAATGGTTCTCGTATTCTTCAACTTCGTAAGTATCCTCGCGGAGAGCTAGCGCTTATTTTAAGATTGGTACAGCCACAATCACCATCGATTTAGGACCTACTTTCATAATGTTCAAGACTCCTTGGAGTTCCTTCAGACTATGCCACTGTAGCGGCGTGGTCTGAAGAAACCTTAGTTCAGTTCTCATTCTATCTTCGCTGGCATCTACGCGCTCGAAGCATGCGAGTACTTCCAATTTTCTCGCTCAAAAGTTGGAGTGCTTTCCTTGAAGTCGCTTACAGATGATGGTGTGCTCATGCCTGTATGCCTTCGATCTCCTCCCCACGAAATCATCCTTCTGTTCTATGGCTGGCTTCTCCAGGCAAAGAGCGTTCAAGGGAGGACACATACATATGAACGAATACAATTCACACTCTTCGTCACGAACAGGCATTGCCTTGATTACACAGAGATGTACACCTGCTGACCAGCGAAGATTACAAAGAGGCTTCTCCTCTCAGTGCTTTCTTCGATCATCTCCTTTTTGGACTGTAGCTTTGGGGTTATGCTGTACAGGTTGTGATAGAACTCCCGCAAACGATTATGAAAGAGTACTGATCAATGGTGCTTCGTATCCAATACACCAACCTCCCAATAGCAGGAATATCCAGAAGAACACCGATTGCGGTACTTTCACACAACATCACAGACTAGAATGATAATATAAAGCGAGTGAATTTTTTTACCGTAAATAAAACCATTCTAAGAAATAAACTGACCTCATTTGAGAATGAACAATCAACAGTTTACATATTCCACGCGCAAAACAAGAAACAGAAGTGAGACAAAATACAACCTACCTTCTTTTTTCAGCAGCTCATCTCACATTTATCCGAATTCTATACTACAATCGAACTGTGCAGTCTTAGGGCGCAACATTGCATAGCGTTAGACCGTTGTATTTCTAAGATCTGACATGTAAGGCCTGCCCACAGACAAATCCTTCCAAAGATAAGTCCAGTACAGCTAACGCTTTAGACTTACCTGACAAGTTTAATGTAGTTATAATGAAAAAAAAGCTTATATGTAGGCCGGACGTAACTGAGGACGGACTCATGTGGGTCACAGAAGCGGCCATATTTGTTACATTTTAGGCAATAATGAGTTAGCTCTTCTTTGGTTTTTAACAAGCTTAGTGTAAGGGAAATAGGCACTTACTTCTTTATTAATTCGTCTTTGTTGTATTGGGAGGTGTGATCGACATGAAAATCAGAAACCGTTTTGAGAAGTCGGATCAGTCGTTCGCAACATTCTAGTGTGTAAAACAGGACAAAAAGCGAACGAAGGATTGATATCTTGCACTTTGTCGATGCTTTCTTAACTTTCTTGTATCGATCAGTTCCAAAAACAATGAAGCGCTCATTTTAAGGCAGTGCTAATTCTAACCAGTCCTAAAAACATCGTAGCAGAAGTTCCTCTATACATGCGATGGATCTTTTGCCACGCCTGTTTATCAAAAAATATAGAAAGTAAACTCTTGCTGAAACAGTTCAGCGAGCTTTATCTAATTAAATGTTTCTATATCTTAGCCTGCAGCGTATTGCTGAAGACAAATGATTTTTATTGTTTGTAACGACATTTTTGAGAGTATGAAGTTGGGAAACTGCTCTTCGACAAATCCGAATTCTTCCTCGTTGCGCGCTATCATTAAAACATAATACCAAAGCATGGGGCAGAACGTGATAACGGGAAAGTAACCAATAATTGTCCAGTATATGTACTTTGTAAGCCTCACCCGTGCTTCCTCTATTCACGGCTTTGTTTACCAGCAGTTCTATACTGAGAAATTTCAATGCGACCGTGGCTTATTAGCTGTGAGTGTACTCTACCGGCTAATAAACAGAAACGGCCTATATTGTGATAACATACTTTTAATCTTGTTCAGTGAAGGTGAGAAGTATAGGTCTTCATCAATGGTTCACACTGAGCAAATTCTAATCAAAATGTGAGTGCAAAAACTACTGATGTATGCGAAAATTTTCGATAAAGTGATTCTAAGTCAAGTGTGGAAGCTTTTGGAATAGTTCACTTACTGAATTCTTGCTTCCTTTCTACCGCTAACTTTGTTGACTTCGAGCCATGACAATTTCGACGTTGTCGGTGTAGATGCAATGTGTAGAGGCATACTAGCTGTAATAAAACTTGGAATGGCAAGTGGGTATGCCGTGGTTTACGATGCCCCTTCTTCCAGATAGGGTTTTGGGATGTGGTCTCAATGTCGGAGGGCGAAGAAATGGTCATCCTGAAAGATCATTTAATCAGTAGCTCCGGGAATCTAGTATTGAAATTTCCCTCCTCCCCCCCAACCCTCCCTCCCATCGCCTCCTTAAAAAAAAGTACGCACAAACAAGCTGGTGACCAGCTTTTCTAAAGTGTTGAGCCAAACCCATAGCTCACAAAATTATCGTACACCATTCATTTTCCGAAACAGGCCACTTTTACAAAGTTTAAATTGATCCAGCACAAAACACAGTATAAGACCCGAGGCGTGATGGCACGACTAGGGCGCCTTCCTTTTCGACTACATGTTATGCTCATATGGTACCGCAACCTACCTGATGTGGTGTGTCAGCCCTTCTAGTCCTCCAAGATGTTGGGACTAAACGAAATTCTGAGCTACGACACGATCACCTCTTGGCTCACACCACCTTCAAGCTAGTAGCTCACTAGTAAGATCTCGCAGTCCTTTTCCAGGTCCATACGCATGATACCTCTTCTTCTCTTCAATGATACCGCCAGTGGAGAGTTTTGCATAGTTCAGCGGTAACAATAGCGAGCAAGACGTAGCATAGAGTAACATTGAAGAGCATAGAGTAACATAGGATGTCGTAGGTATCATTGGAGTTGTGTATAGGAAGGTGATGTCAAATTTGGTACTCGTCGACAGCGATCATGTTCGACTAGCGGTCGAAAGGTGCACCTAGATCGTCGGCGACGTTGAAGGCTGCATTGTGTTGGCTTTGGCAAGACTAATAGGGTCACTAGATGGTTACAGAATAGGAATGGCAGTGGTTGGAGCACACCACGACGTCGAACGTAGCCAAGTGAGAGCGGCTAGCAGCGCGCATCGTGCTGATGGTGCGGGCATCTGCACGCCCCGCCTCCACCGGCGCGTTATTACAATCTTGAGGACACGCTGAGCCGGTCGTGCTGATGTTTCTCATCATGAGCAGCGTCGACGCACTTATGAACATGGTCATCACGATCCTCGAACGCTTCTTCATTGGTCCCACGTGCTATGTTGTTCGGTTTTTTCTTTCTAGTAGTATGCTGTACATTTGCGCGTGCACGTGATCCTCGGTGCTCCATGAAGCGTCGTGCACTTTTATGATCGTTTACTAATTTTTTCGTTTCTAGCAACAATGTTGCATAGCAGCTAGTCCATCGAGAGTCTACAAGGAAGATATGGCATTCCATTTGAACTTTTTTCCTAATTTTTTTTCGTTTTGGTGGCCAATTTTTCTTTGATTTGCAACATCAAAATTTCTTCTCGAAACACGCAGTTCTTTTGCTGAATATAGTGTTGAGCTACAAGGCTTCCATTTTTCCATCAAAATGTCGAATCACGTTTTGATCTACTTGAGTTTGGAAGTCAATTACCGTAACCTCTGCTTAGCAGGATTTCTTTGCCATCTTGGCAGTTTATGAAGCGCTACTTCCTGTAATGCTTGCGAAAACGTCTTACAACACTAATCTCTTGTGGTTCCCATCATATCTGACCTTTTGATCTACTTTTTGTGCCTTCAAACTTTTTATTGGAATCGTCACTGACTTCCCTCAGTGGCGAGCGGCTCGCGTCGCGCTATTGCTGTGACTAGCTACAGTATCCTAGAAGTAGGCGGAGTCGGTCTTCCTATATCACGCTCACGGCAGCCATGCTGACTCCGTTGCAATGACCATCGTTGCGGCGTTTCGCCTGTGAGATGTGTCTAAACCTCCTCCGTTCCCGTGCACACTCAGCGAACGCGATGTCTACGCATCGCGCCTTGAAACAATGTCTAAGCGTTCCTCTCCGCATACTAGAAAAGATTTTGGCATGCTTTTCCAGCGTTCAGATCAAGTTTGAGGTCACTCTGGTCATTTTTCGTCTCTGGAACATCTCACTAACGAAATTTCACTTTTGGAAAGTATTCATCTTTGGTTTTCTGAAGTGTCATTTTTGACGTTGTTTCCTATAAATAACGTGTCGCGCGTGCTGAGAAAGGTCGCACACGCGTGTTGTTGTTTCTCAAATCGGATGCGTACGTTTTGATAAGCCGAGAGAAATCAAGAAGTACCATTTATCGACACTTTCGAGAATTTATCTGCAATTTCTGTCAGTTTTACCAGTTGTTGATAGATGTACATGTTACTGGTACTTTCTTTAATTTTTATATGCAGATTTTTATCAAGCTTATTATCATCTTCGTGCGTGGCATATTGGAAGGTTCTTAAGAAATTTTCCGATACTCCGCGCAGGAATGGAAGAATTTTATCGATGTGTTAATTTCCGTTAAAAATTTTCTGTTTTATCGCGTCTTAATATTGCCAGTAAGGTCGACTCGGACTTTCTCGCTGTACAACTTCCATAAGCTCGGTATGCATTATCATTTTTGCGTCGATCGATTTTATTCTTTCACGTTGAAAGTACGATGCACATTTACATGTATCAATGCCCCTCAACCAAACTGCTGCTTTAAGCGCATCGCTTGAAAGAGAAGGATAGTGAAAGACGGGCGGTGAACTGCATGCAAGCAGCAAACGTCACGTCTTGATCCATAAGGAGAGCAACAACTAACGCTAGAACTTGTCTGACCGAAGTAGCTGCTCAAGCTCTCGGATCGTCAAATTGTTCGCACGCCAGCCAATCCACGGCTCTTTCGACGCCATGGATGAGCCAGCGTGCAAGAAGTTGAAAGTTGATTCTGGTGAGTTTCCTAGTTATTTTTATTTTTGCACGGGAGAGATTCTAATTTCAGCACCTTGCGCAGACTATGAAGCTGGAGATAATTTGGATGGTTTGAGTGAGCTCGAAAAATTAGAACCTTTGCCACAATCTGGGCACATTGGTGGCGATGTACCGGTTCGTTATGCTTTTTCAAAGGTTGTTTATCCATCTCATTGATTATTAGTGATTATTGATTCGCACTAATTTGATATTCTTCTATCTTTATATTTTATTTTTTTTGTACAACCAATAGTTTGAATGCGACAATTTTGTCAGCTGTTTTGTTCATCAGTTGCTGATGTGCATCATTAGCTAAAGTTTTGTAAATCCTGCTCAAAAATTACACTTGGCCTTCATTGATGTATTTGACATACCTTCATTGATTATATTTTATCACTTACTTTGAACGCTCATTCGCTAAGAGAGCCAACCTATGGGTAAAATACATTTTAAGGACTCAATCGATTGTTCTATTCCTCCTTTAACTTACTTGAGTGTTACCCCTATAAATGCGTTTTGTATGAACATGAGGTCCTATGGAGTTGCACTGTCTTGATTTGATGGTACTTCTGCGACACTTCCTAAGTAGTATTTTACAAATGGATCTGTTTGCTAGAGAGCCGTCATATAGCACATAAGCGCAAGCTGCTCGTTGCGCGTAGATCTGTAAATATCTCAAAATAATTTTGAAAATTGCTATATGAGTTCCGATGAAATATTGCTCAACAGTAAAATCCTTTCAACTCTTTTTATTTAGACCACTTCACAGTCCACAATGCCAGCTCCGATGCCACCAGCGGGTTATGGCCAAGCTGGAGGAGGTCAACCGGGCGGACAACCTTCTCAGGGTGGTCAGCAACAGTCTGTTTTACAGGTATTTGTTTTGTGAATTTCGCAGAGATCTCAGTAAGGTTCATATTGAACCAAATAAACAAGTTCTTTAGGAGTTGTTAATGACCCAAACGCAAGGGCCAGCTGCAAACAATTCACCAAGACCTGCATTTTCGACAGCACAAACAGCGAATAACTTTAACACAAGGTTCGGTGTCAGATTACGTCTTTGTTTCGGATTTTTCCTCAGAATGAAATTTCAGGAGTCCTATGACGGGTGCTACGATGATGTCTCCACCTAACGCAAATATGGCTGGAGCAGGGCGAGGGGCGGGCGGCCCCGGACCCTCTCCTGGAGGACCAGCGGGTGGACCTCCTGGAGGCCCAATGCGTGCCCCTGGTCAGGGACCGCCCGTCATGTACGATGGAATGCAAATGGCTCCACAGCAACCGCAATATGGACAACCTATGATGAGCGGTGGACCACAAGGCCAAATGCGGGGTTATCCTGGTCAATACGCACCTCAGGGCGCACCTAATCAGGTAGAACTTGTCTCCATTTTTTGTGCATTGTTTACGTCGTGAATCCAGATACCTTATCCTGGGCAAGGACGAGGGCAAGCCATCCCAAGAGGTGGTATGATGAACGGAGCACATATGCAACGGCCGCCTCAAATGGCACCTCCGGGTCGACCAGGTAAAAAGACACTTACTTGCGAGCGGTTCACCTTTATTTGTGTCAGTTTTAGGAATGCCACAAATGATGCCAGGTATGATGCGGCATCCGGGTATGATGGAGCAACCTTTCAATCCCAATGCACCTTTCCAAGGACAACGGCCTGATCAATTCATGGGTGGTCCACCTCCTCAGGTTAGTGTTTAACAGTGTCACAAACAGTGTCAGGTATTATCTGAATCTGCTTATTTTCTGCGCATATTGCACTTCCATGATTTAGGGCTTTATGAATAGACAACCTTACCCCGGTATGATGCCAGGTCATCCTGGACCACCGCAGGGACCACCGGTAAATCTGCTCTTAAATTGTTTTCCGGCGCTAACTAGAGCCTATGCCTTTTAGATGATGATGATGGATCCGTCACAATCGAATGGACCTCATCAAATGCCTAATCGACCGCCTGGCGCTGCTGGACCGACACAACAACCTCCGGTACTTACATTGCCTGATCTGGCCTTTGCTTGGCTGTAATTTGATTTCTGAAGTTGTCTCAGGGAATGATGCAAATGCCAAATGGAGGTCCTCCTGCTGGTCAGCAACCTCATCCACACCAGCAAATGCCGGGCGCACCTGTCTCTCAACCTCCCCAACGAACTGGTGGAACTCCTTTGACTCCTGGGACTCAAGATCCAGAGAAGCGCAAGTTGATACAACAACAGCTAGTGTTGTTATTACATGCTCATAAGTGCCAGCAACGGGAACGGGTAAATTGGATTTTTTGATGAAAATGATAGCTTTTTCAACACTAACCTTCAGAACCCTGCTGAAGCAGCGAATGGCCGAACGCCTTGTAATCTGCCTCATTGTAACACGATGAAGGAAGTGCTACAACATATGACCATCTGCCACAATGGAAGACAGTGCACATGTATGTTTCACCATCAGCAGTTATTCTACTTGAGTGAGTGTAAATTTTTTCTTTAGATGCTCACTGCGCATCATCTCGACAGATTATTGCTCACTGGAAGAACTGTAATCGTGACGACTGTCCTGTTTGTAAACCTCTAAAGAGCATACAGAATCAACCGTCGGCGGCTGGAAGTGAGCTATGTCAGAGTTTAGACCTAATACCTAGTTAGCCCTTTTCCCCTGGACACCATCGAAATAACTGATGGAACTTTTTGCAGCGCTGCAAGATATGAGCCAATTGTTAGGACCAGGATCCGTGGGAGCACCTGGGTCTGTAGGAGGTAGCAGTATGGGCCCAGGAGGCCCGCAATCCGTAGATCCCATGGCTCAGTTTGGATCTCCAGCCCCGGCGTCGAACACGGGTGGTGGAGCGAATGCAGCACCTGCAGGACCTGGTAGCGTACCTGGAGGGCCACATAGTGGACCCATGTCCGCTGCTGGTTTGCTCAATGATTATAATCCTCCCATGAAGTGAGTTTTTCGAAGTATCCTTTCGTCCTTGAAAGTTGAGTAAATTTGCTTTTAGTGATCCTTTCCGTTCACCAAACCCTCCCAACAAACACGCTGGTCCAGGATCTGTTGGCGCTGCTCCAGGTGGACCCCACCATGGAATGATGGCCAGAGCACCTGGCGACTTCTCAACCATCAACTTCCCACCCCCTGATGTACCTAGTCATGCGAAGGTATCATGTGATCTCAGTTTGAATCTCACTATCTACTAGAGACTGTTTACTGAATGTACAAAAATATTGGTGTCTGTTTCCCAAATATTCTCTCTTCAGGAATGGCATCAACATGTCACCCGCGATCTCCGTAACCATCTTGTCGGCAAGCTAGTGAAGGCAATATTCCCGTCCCCAGATCCAAATGCGATCCATGACCAACGAATTCGTGATTTGATTAATTATGCGCGGAAAGTTGAAATGGAAATGTTCGAGTCAGCCAACGATAGGGTACGCATAAGTTTTATTGGATTTATTACTGAATTGTATCGAAGAGCTCAGTTTCAAGGAGTTTTGTTCAGGAGGAATATTATCACTTGTTGGCGGAGAAAATCTACAAGATCCAAAAAGACCTGCAGGATAAGAAGAACTCAAGGCTTCGAGCTGATGGAGGCGGACAGGGAGGCGGTGCAGCAGGAGGAGGTCCTGCAGCCGGTTCGTCTGCTCCACCTCAATCTGCACCAAATGCTGGACAACAACAGCAAAGTGCAGCTAGTGGTGGTGGCTCCTCTGAAGGTGCGGCTAGTGATTTTCTGATCTAGACTTGGACATGGTTGCAAGAGTATTTCCAGGATTAGGATCAATTCCAGACTTTGACATGGATATGCCAAATCCGCCAAATCGGACTGCTGGCACCACACCGTTACCGCCTGGGTTACAGACAGCGCAGCAGCAACAGCAACCGCCACATTCACAGCAACCGCATCAACAACATGGTGTTGGTTGGACGAGTGCCAGTGGTAGTGGTCCTATGTCGGCTCCGGATCCACGAGCTCAACAGCAACGGTCGCAAGAAAGACTTGGAGCGCAATCGAATAGTAGTCATGGATCGGCGGCTGGAACACCATTGGTAATGATTTCTCATTATGAAGGTTGATTGATTGTATATAGCTTGGATTACTCAAGTAAAGCTCTCTTTTTTTTATTAATGATGCGATTAAAGGTCAAAATGGAGTCAATGGACACCAGTGACCAGAACGGCCCGATGTCAACTTCCTCAACGAACGGTTTACCTCCCGCGCTAGTCAAATCTGAGTCCAAAATTAAGATGGAGGAAGGTTGTTCAGGTATGGATTGCTTATGAATTTTTCGAGTTTTGGAAATAACTTTACCAAGCTTCAGTTGCCCCGGGACCATCGTCAGGAGCAGTTGTTCCAACTTCTACTGCTGTAAAAACAACTAAGCCTGACTCCACATCATCGCCGAAAAAGGAAGTGGTCAAGCGAGAACCTACACCACCACCTGGAGAAGACACGATCTTTGACGCCAACGAGTTGCGGTACGTCTTTTTAGGTCTTTTCGAATTCGCCGACAAGTGCTCAGAATTGTTGTTCAGGCACTATCTACGGCCAGTTTGGGAGAAGTTGGATTGCTCGGAAGACGCCATACCATTCCGTATGCCTGTTGATCCGGATTTACTGCATATACCTGTAAGTTTCTGGATCATAGATGAGTATAATATTTGTTCTTTGCTGAGCAGCTCAGGTCACAAGTATAAAATGTTCTAGGACTACAACGATATAGTGAAACACCCAATGGATTTGTCTACGATTTGCGGAAAACTGGACAGTGGTCGTTATAAGAATCCATGGGAGTTCTGCGATGATATGTGGTTAATGTTCGACAACGCCTGGATGTACAATAGAAAAAACAGCAAGGTGTACAAATATTGCACAAAGGTAAGCGAAATAGGCTAAATATATGGCACAAGCATAAATGCTGCTAATTTGTTGCAGCTGAGTGAAATGTTTGTGGCTGAAATGGATCAAGTTATGCAGCAGATGGGATATTGTTGTTCACGGAAGTTGTCATTCACACCTTTAGCATTGTTTTGCTATGGTGCATCGATGTGTACGATTGCAAGGGATCAGCCATATTGGGTGTAAGTAGACTAGCCTAGGTTTTTCTTCCGTTCAGGGATAGGGCAAAAGTCATTGATTCTAGGTACGAACAAACGTCGTCACAATACGGCGTCACTGTGTCAGAGCGATACACCTACTGTTTGAAGTGCTTTGATGCATTGCCGCCTGAAGGCATTTCATTGTCGGAAAATCCGAACGACCAGTCGAACATGGCACCAAAAGACAAATTTGTGCAAATGAAGAACAATGTGATCGATTATGAACCGTTCGAAGTGTGCAAATACTGCCATCGAAAGTGGCATAGGATCTGTGCGCTGTATGACAAGAAGGTAATGATTTTAGTTGTTTAATCAATATTTCTGCAAATATAACTTTTCCAAGATTCTTTCACTTGCCTGTCACACTTGATATCAGTTGTATTTTTTTATAAACTCTTATAAGTGCAAATGGATCCATAACTCATTTTGGTTACGGATGTTCTATGCTTTATTGCTTATCACCGTGTTTCTAGTAAGATCGTCCATTGTGTAACAGTCTATCTTTTAAGATAACAGAGAGACAGTTTTACAACATGTTAGTAGATTCTACAAAAAATCTGACTGTACCTATCTAATTTCATTTTCACTTTCATCTTACTTTTCAGGTGTTTCCTGAAGGTTTCATTTGTGACACGTGTCGCAAGGAGAAGAGTTATCCGAAACCAGAGAACCGATTTACGGCGAAACGATTGCCGCACAACAAGTTGTCGCAGTTTTTGGAAGACCGCGTGAACAACTACCTGAAAGGTGCACTCCAAAACAATCCCAATCAGTATGAAGTTATCATTCGAACGTTGTGCGTGCAAGACAAAGAAGTGGAAGTGAAGCCGCTGATGAAGCAGAAGTGAGTGAACAGATTTCCAAACTCTCTTATGGGTTACGCTTTAAAAAATATTCTCGCTCCAGATATGGTCCACAAGGTTTCCCCGACAAATTCCCTTACCGAACGAAGGCTGTGTTCGCTTTTGAAATCATCGACGGTGTTGAAGTGTGCTTCTTTGGTCTCCATGTCCAAGAATATGGCAGTAATTGCAAGGAGCCCAATGCAAGGTACATACTTTATCAATTTGCGAAGCAAAATGGCGTTTATCTACATTTAGGCGGGTGTACATTGCTTATTTGGATTCGGTACACTTTTTCCAACCAAGGGAACTCAGAACAGAGGTTTATCACGAGATACTTCTTGGATACCTTGAGTGAGTGGTTGATTTCTCCCAAGTTTTACTGCCGCTTAGTTCTATTGCCCATTAAGAAATGTTTGCAAGGAAATAAAATTGTTTTTCTTTAGCTATGTCAAGCGACTTGGCTACACTATGGCCCATATTTGGGCTTGTCCACCATCCGAAGGTGATGACTACATCTTCCATTGCCATCCTCCTGAACAAAAGATCCCAAAACCGAAGAGGTTACAGGTAAGGAAGAATAAGCCATATGGATTTTTCTAAGTTTCCGTACTTTAGGATTGGTACAAGAAAATGCTGGAGAAGGGTGTAGGCGAAAAGACAGTGGTTGAGTTCAAGGATATTTACAAACAGGTGTGAACATTTCCAAATGCGGGACTAGCGCTGCACTTTGCTTGACTAATTGCCAAATATATGTAATTCAGGCACGTGATGACAACCTGACAACGCCCATGAGCCTGCCATACTTTGAAGGAGATTTCTGGCCAAATGTGATTGAGGATTGCATTAGGTCAGTGAAATTTCTGCGAGATCATTTTTGCAAAAGTTATTGATCAAATTCAGAGAGGCTGGAAATGAGGAAGCTCAAAGGCGAAAAGAAGCTGCAGAAGGTGAAGAGGATGACGATGATGTTTTCCAATCTGGTGATAATGGCAAAAAGAAGAGGTAATTGCCTTTTATGAATGTTGGCTCTCTTGGTTAAATAAGTATAATCGATATTGGCTAGAGCTTACTCTTTCTTTTCAGTTCCAAAAACAAGAAGAACAACTTGAAGAAGAATTCGAAGATGAATAAGAAGAAGCAAGGTAACTCAACTGGCAATGAAGTTGCAGACAAGCTATATTCACAGTTCGAGAAGCATAAAGAGGTTGGTTTGTTTAGTCAGTCGCAGGAAGCATGAAGTTTAATTGGGATTTTAGGTGTTCTTCACCATTCGTCTCGTCACACAACAGTCGGCTCTTTCTTTGCCTGACATTGTCGATCCGGATCCACTCATGGCATCAGATATGATGGACGGAAGAGATACATTCCTCACTCGAGCTCGTGATGAACACTGGGAGTTTAGCTCGTTGAGAAGGGCCAAGTAAGATTTACCGTGATTGCGCTTTTTTACGAAACTTTCCTATGAACTTTTCATTGTCTTAAAAAATTGATTCCATGACCTTGGGAACGTCAATAATATTGTAGATATTCCACCCTGGCCCTTTGCCATGCTTTACACGAATCCGATGTCAACAAAGAAATGTCCTACACTTGCAACAAATGCAACAGTTCGAATGCGAAATGGCATTGTACTACTTGTGACGTGAGTTCCGAGTTATTTTGCAATTTTATTAGCTCTTTTTTGATTTTTGACATTGCTGAGCATTTAAATTCAAGGATTTCGATCTCTGTGAAACTTGCCGCGAATCCGTTCCGCATGAACATCCTATGGAACAGATCAAACCACTTATTGGAGCTGAAAGTGGTGATTCCAGTGGTAGCAATCGTTTCGAAAGCATACAGGTATGTATTGATTTTCGTTTCTAAATTTTGACAAATATGCTCCAATATCTGTTTTCCAGCGTTGCATCCTCTCTTTGGTGCATGCTTGCCAATGCAGAGACGCGAATTGTCGTCGTGTATCTTGTCACAAGATGAAGCGTGTAGTGCAGCATACGAAACTGTGCAAGAAACGAGTCAATGCCAGTTGTCCTGTGTGCAAGCAACTGATTGCATTGTGCTGTTACCATGCAAAGCATTGCCAAAGAGATTCATGCTCGGTAAGAATCATTACTTTGTCGTAGAAGAGCAAAACAGGGAGTGATTTGTTTCAGGTGCCGTTCTGTATGAACATCCGACAGAAGTTGGCCGAACAGAAGCGTTCGATTGCCAGACGTGCCGACATGATGATGCGAAGGCGTATCGATGGACTTCAAGCTGTTGCTGGAGGTTAAGATTTGAAAATTTTTGTCTGAGTGTCAGAAATGAAAAATGCAACGTGTTAAACTTGGTTAAGTCAATTTTTCGAGCTTCATGTTTGTGCTTGTTCGAATCTGTCTTTCCGAACAAGGGGGTATGATTAGATGGAGGGGAGCAAAAATGACTAAAAACTGCTAAATTGACGGGGACAGTGGTTGTAAAGGTTTGTTGTTCGCCGTAAACGCTCTTAAACTAGCGATTTAAAAAGTATGCGATTGAAGATTGAAATAGCTAACAATCACTCTCTAAACTTCGCTTTCCAGGACCGTCCGCATCAGGCGCTGGAGCAGCACTAGTGGGTCCAACATCTGTACCGACGCCGCCTCCTGACAATAAACCATTTTCGGGGACCCATATGAAGGTTTGAAGGACAAGTTTGAGTTTATCAGCATCATTTATTGTTACCTGTTACAGGGAGGAATGCCTGGTCCAAGCCCACTGACTCAAGTCCCATCAATGTCCATGCAGCCACATCCACAACCAGGGCAACATCCTCAGCAACAAAGAGGTGGATTCATGTGTAAGTGTGCATATTATTTTATACCCTTTTTGTCAAGTTTTCGCAATTTCCTTCGTGAGATCAAGTGTGGACTTTTCTGCAGCATCTGGCATGATGCCACCACAACAACAGCAACAGCCCCAACCTGGAATGCAACAAATGGGACAAGGGATGCCTGCTGGAATGGGTGGACCGATGGGAGCCTCAAATATGTACAGTATGCAGCAACAGCAACAACAGCAACAGATGGGAATGATGGGACAAATGCGACCCGGACAACATCCAGGCGGCCAGCCTATGCCCGGACCTGGTGGCCGGGGAGCTACCGGACAACCTCCTCCACCATACCATCATCGGTTAGTAATTGACTTGTTTTGATCTGGCTAAAAATGATTCATTGTATTCTTAGCGCTCCAACTCCAATGGTTGGTTTCAACACGAACCCACCTATGATGCAGCCAGGAATGCAAATGCATCCGGGCATGGGACAGATGAGAGGACGTAAGTATTTTTCGTATAATCTTCGTGTTAGCACATACATGCACATGTAAGGTTGTACAATAGGCCGTCGCGCAGCAAAATATTCTCCTGCATGTTTTGTATGCACATGATTATGAAAAAATTCGCGAAAACTAAAGTAATTTGCTATTGTAGAATCTTCAGTTAGGGGGCATCAGTGAATAGTTGATTATGATGTAATTTTTCAGAACCCGGTGGTGGGCCAATGCAACCGCAACAGCAGCAACAACCACAGCAACAAGGTAACCCTGCTGTAATCGACCCGGCCATGGCACAAGTGATGAGTCGGTTAAAAATGGCAAAGACGGATGAAGAGAAGACTTCGGTGTTCCAAGAACTGAAGAAGACACCACATTTGTTTGCTGCATTCATCAAAATGAAGCCCACTCCTGATGTGAGTATAGAATTAATTTTTGTTCGCTCGGATTATTTTATGTTATTCAGAGCAATTGGCCATCAAATATGGGTCCAGGAGGTCCTGGTGGTCCTCCACAACAAGGTTATTACGGTGGTCCACCACAGGGTGCTCCCCGAGGACCCGGAAGTCAATATGCGCCAATGGCACCTGGATGGCAACAACAACAGCAATATCATCCACAACGGCAACAACAAGGAGCGTCACCGGCCATTTCTGGACAACAGTTCGGTGTTGGTCAGGTGAGTAATTTCTTCCCAAGTACTCTATCATTGTCTTGAAGCTAGAGAATGCTACCAAGTTGTTGGAGTTATTTACCGTACGCATTAACCATTGTCTTAATGACGGTGTCACTCTCTCCTGCGCCTCGCATCCTGCGCTACCGCCTCCCTCTGCTTTGTGTCGCGTTCGCGAACCCTAAGCATCTTTCCAAGCCGGCCAACCTCACTGCTAGGCGTGCAAAAATGCCTGGAGAATACGTTCGCGAACGCAGAAGCTTTGGATGGATTTCCCGAGCGAGCCGCGCTAACGGGCGACACTGTGATTCAGACAGAGGAAATCTGTAGTTCTACGCAATTAGGAATTTCTATGTTTTGCTTTAGGGTCGATCGCCATCGATGGGCATGGGATCATCGCCAATGTTGCCACCACAACAAGCTGGTCAACCCGATCAATCAGGGCAATTCCGGTGACAAACTAATTAGGTCCAGAATCTACGATAGTGTTCGGTAGCCGTCGTCGTCGTATTATCCCCAGATTACGAGTATCTCCCTATTCGCCGAGTTTTCCTCGAATACTGTGCTTTACTGGTGAGGAAGACAAGCTGCGAGCCTTTCAAAAATGCATGGTGATCCATAAATCAGAACAAAGAAAATTAAGAAGAGAATTACTCTTTACTGTACTGTGATATAGAGAGGCGAGTAGCGGGTGCTGGGTCACCCGTAATATCTACGCCATGTCTGTGTTAGAGCATCTTATATGGTTGTTGTCGTTGTTATCATTTGACAAGTCCATCCCCCTCCCACTTCACATCTACGTCATCTTCTGCTGTTTTCTTATTTTCTTGAACTTGTGAATCCTCCAGTCGCATCTGCGCGTTGTCGTCATCTCTCATCTGCCCGTTTTTACCATTGTCTGTATAATAAGGGTTACGTGTATAAATCGAAGCTAGTGTGTGTGTCTGCATGTGGTTTGCGTGTGCGCATTCGTTGTGTTACTTTAGGGTCCATCGGGTCCGTTATTTTTCCAGATTTTGTACTTGTATTACTCTAGCACATTACTCTCGTACTCCTTTTCATGCTATATATTTTTTACCTCTGACGCAATCATTATTGATTCACTAATCGATTGTTCTGTCAGCTCGTTGATTTTTGACATATGATCCCTCCACTCCCCCAGTATTCAACCACATCCAAAATTCGCTCATTTACGTTTAGGCAGCTTTCGGTTGACGTCATTGCGAGGTGTTTTTTCTTATTGTTATATGTTGTGTTTGATTTATCCATTGTCTAGTTATTGCTACAGTCTGCATTTGTTCTCTCCATTTCCTTTCCCCAACTGAACCTTTCTTCGAGCGCGGTTGCTGCACAACAGGTCGCAAAGCATCTAAATATCTATGTTTAACCATATTTGCTTTGTTCATTTCCATTTGTGTACATTTGCATTGTGTAGTCGTAGAAAAGTAGTAAAAGAGTTTCATCTTGAACTCTTCTAATTTTCATACACTAATAACATGTATTTGTTCAAATCAAAATGTATTGAACGTTGTTGGTCGAGTAGTGTATGCGCGATTTTATCAAAACGATCATGTTCGCTGCTTGCTCAACCTCTCCCTCCTATCATGCCCCCATCTAATTACAGTAATCTTGGTAGTATTAGGACAATACTGTACATCCACAGTACATACATCTTTCCCCTTTAATTGTTGTGGTAGAATGTATTCACGAGTGCATGTTTTCGGTGGTCTCTGTCTCATCCTTCATAACTAGGCTGTAACCGCGCGCGCTAGCCATTTTCCTATCGTCATTTCGTGATTTTTCATTTGGTTTTCTTTATTGTTGTTGTTGATAATGTCTTACGATGCGTTTTTGTGCGTCTTGTGTGTGAAATATAACGCAAGCAGCGTTAGTGCTCCAAGCTGCGCATACCGCTAAACCGCCCATTAACGCTATGCGACGCTAAAGCACTAAACGCTTGACACCATGAAAGGGCACCATGATCTTGGATACATTATTCATACCCTGAGTGTATATTGAAGCGAGATTTATATCACTATTGTATTATTTATTATTGTTTTCTTTTATTATGAGCCACAATAAATTTCTAAATTTCTCTTTTGTTTTGTTATGCATAGAAGTAGGTTACGTGAACCACCATATACATTACGGGAGGACTGAATTGTTGAAGGCACACTAACACATGGGAGAGGTTAGCTAAAGGAACTGCTTCTTGACTGGACTTGTTAGATCTTATCGCGGGTTCGTAGCACCCTGGGGTGGTGTTGTTGCCCATCACCCGGCAATGTAACACGGTATTAACGCGTGCATATAAAGGCTGCTGCATGACGAAGGCGCAATACCTTTGGGCGATCGCGACTTTATTGGGCTCTATTGGCCGCAGAGCGCGTGAGGCGCAGGATTCGCGGGTGTGGTGCGGAAGGCGACAACGCCCAGTTTTGTGCCTATCAGAAACTCTCCGGTGTCAAAGTGACAACCCGGGGGACTACGGGGGTGGGGGTTGGGGGCAGATACATTACTCAATGCCATAAGTAGAAATCCGTGAAAGTCGTTAAGATGGATGATACACTGCCTCCATTTTCCGCCGTTTGTCGCCTTCCGCGTGCCTCCCAGGATTTACAACGGTGAGGATGCGTGCGCGCCGCTTGGGAGCCGTGTTCGCGCCCTCTCAGCTGATGAAGGATATTCGTTGACGACTACCCCGTTTCGTGCATTTACACCACCGCGGGGGCTGCACTTCAGGAGGTACAGGAGCTTTCAATCTGAGTGTCACGGTCGACGTGGTTCACTCCCTCGCAAGCCGCCGCGTTTATGTCTCTCACGTGGTACAATAGCGCATCCGATAATGCGAAAGCCTTAGCGCGTGGTATTGCACCACGTGAAAGAGACCCAAGCGAGGCGGCTCGCGAGGGAGAACCACGTCGACTGTGACACTCAGATTGAAAGCCCCTGTACGCCGCGCGCGGCCACAGCTCCGCCGCGACGCCGCGTCCAAATCCTGGGACTCGCAAATCTCTCCACTGTTAGAGTTCCCAGCGGCAAAAACAGCGGGGCAGGGGTGGGGGCAGACACATGTACTCGATGCCAAAGTAATACTGATCCAGAAGTGTTGCTATTGCATTGGCTGAAGTGCGCTGCGCCTTCGCTTCGCGAAATTCGCGGCGATCGTAAAGGATATTCGTCGACGACTGCCCCGACTCGTGCAATTACACCACCGTGGGCGCGCGTTTTTGGAGCCTTTTCCAGCTGGACAGTACCTGCAGCGCGCTGGGACTCAGTAGCTCGCAGCAACACTGCCCTTTAACCTCTTTTTCTTAATTTGAGCATTTCATATCGTTTTTTCTTCTTACTTTTTATATTTAGGCAGTAATTCGTTTTCCCTTTCTTTTAGTTTCTCTTGATGATTCTATCCTACGTTCTACTTCATTGAATACTGAAAAGTAAGGGAAAAACTACCTTGGGCACATTTCTTGAATTATTCCCCCGTTTTACGTACGAAACATCCATTTTCAAAGTCGTGAATCATCGCACCGGGCAAAGTTAGGTGGAAACATGTGTTTTGTTCATGAGTAATAGTGGTTATCACGCATCTTCTTACATGAGATCACTCGAATGTTTATTTCCCACATGGTGTCCCTGCTATAAGAGTACTGAAGCAACCATTTCAATGGTCTGTCCTAATAAACATGTCAAATCATTGTAAAACATCGAAGAAAATATGCAATTCCATCATGCCATGATAGCCACCACTACAACTAGGAAGAAAGCTCATCTTTCGTCTAACTTTGCCCGCGGCGATATTCTCGCATAGTCATTAAAGTATGTAACTGCCTGGAACGAAAAATAAGAAAAAAAAACAATGTGAAATGTCTAACAGACGAAAGAGGTCAAAGGACAAGGATGCTGCGAGCTCTCAAGTCCCCACGCGCTGCTGCATAATGTCAAGCTGGAAAGGCTCCCAAAAGGCGCGCCCACGATGGTGTAATTGCACGAGTCGAGGCAGTCGTCGACGAATATCCTTTACCTCCTGACCGTTTCCCACCGCGGGCGTGTCTTTTTGAAGCCTCCCCAGCTTTACAGTATGCTACAGCGCGCAGGGAATTCGCAGCTCGCAGCGCCCCTGTCCTTTAACCTCTTCTGCATTTCTCATCTTTTTTTCCTTTTTAGTCTTCATTTCAGGCAGCTGCTCATCAGTCAGTCGTTCTCCTCTTCTTTTTTAAATTTCTCTCGGTTGAATACCCTACAAATTCTGCTTTGATGGGTACTGAAAGAGCAGGAAAAAAGTTTCGGCACAGTTATTGAACTCACTCTCCTTTTTACATATCATACAAACATTTTCAGAATCGTAAACTATCGTCCGCATAATTAGGTGAAAGCGGTGTGCTTCTTCATGAGCAGTGAGTGAGTGGTGATGGCTAGAATGCCTTCTCCTCAAATGAGACCACTGAAATGTTTACTTTAGCACACCTAGTACATGTGTCCTTGATGTAGGAATGCTGAAACGCCCACTTCAGCAGTCTCTCTTGAGAAAAAAAATGGCAAATCATTATGAAACACGAAGAAAACATTGCACTCCCAATCATAGCCACGATATACGTCATTGCGACTTGGAAGAAAACTCATTATTCCTTCCGATTTTTCCGGAGCAATGGTCTTGCGCGTATGAAAGTGTGTAACTGCCTAAAATGAAAATTAAGGAGAAAAAAAAAACGATGTGAAATCCTCAAAAAACAAAGAGTCAAAGGCAGTGTCCGGGCAAAAAGTCGATTTTGAGATTTTTGCTTACCCGGTCCTATTCACTATGCTGAATCCGAGAATTCACATTAGAAAGCGCGAAAACGACGGAAAAGAACTCTAACGCAGGAGGGAAATCGGAAATGGGCGAGGTCTTCCCCACTGCGGATTTACGCTCCAAGCTCCCGGAGCGATCTTCTCGATCCCGATTTTAAGGGCCGCATGCACTAACATCCCCGCGGGGAGGGGATCGCAGCTTAAAAGAAAGCTTTATATTTCGAAACTCCAGATACCTGGATTTCACGTTGTGTACCTATCCGTAAGTATTCCTATTACCCTTCACTATGAACATGTTGAACAGGAGCGAGAAGCTGTACAAACCGCATTTTCCAGCTTTTGTATGATCCCTGATGATCCCTGGCGCTTTTCTTCAAAGTCATTTTTCTTTCTCCGAAGTTAACGAAGAATCTCCAGAGTTGTGCAGATTGTCTAACCCGACAGTGCTAAGCATGTTGCTGCTAAGAACAAATGATGTTTTGAAGTCATGAAATTTGCGATGATCCACAGGTCGAAATTTGAGGCTTACCGAAAAATTCGACTTTTTAAAAACTCATTTGTTCTCATCAGCAACATGCTTAGCAGTATTGTGTTAGATGTTCAGTACAACTTTGGAAGGTTTTCGTTGACTTCGGAGAAAGAAAAATGACTTTAAAGAAAAGCGCCGGGGATCATAAGGGATCATACAAAAGCTGGAAAATGCGGTTTGTACAGCTTCTCGCTCCTGTTCAACATGTTCATAGTGAAGGTTAGTAGGAATACCTACGGATAGGTAGACAGCGTGAAATCCAGATAACTGGAGCTTCAGGATATGAAGCTTTCTTCTGAAGCTGCGATCCCCTCCCCGCGGGGATATTAGTGCATGCGGCCCTAAGTCATGCATTTGCACCTGCCTGTGGAGATCTGAGGGCGCTAGCGGAATTGAGAAAGTCGCTTCAGAAGCCGGGACCGCGAAATTCACAGTGGGGAAGACCCCGCCCACTTCTGATTTCCCTCCTGCGTCAGAGCCCTTTTTTGCCCTTTCCGCGCTTTCCAATGTGGATTTTCGAAATCAGCCTAGCGAATAGGCCCGTATAAGCACAAAATCTCAAAATCGAGTTTTTGCCCGGACACTGCCTTTAAAGGACGGGCATGCTGAGGGCTGCGTATACCCCGCGAGCTGCAGCGTACTGTAAAGCTGGAAAGGCTTCAAAGGTAGGTGCCAGAGTAAGCGGATATTTTGTTCAGGTTGGGGTCCCGCGCAGAATTGACGTCACTTGGATTGACGCCAGCATGATGAGAGACGTAAATTCTGCGCGAGACCCCAACCTGAACAAAATATTCGCTTACTCTGGCACCTACCAAAAAGGGTAGAGGAACGAACACCTCAATTAGGCCTCGCCTCCGCGGGCTGCTGGTCCTTTCGTCGTACTGTTATGCATCGTGTTAGGACGAGTAGGCCGCGGAGGCGGTGCCTAATTGAGGTGTTCGTTCCTCCACCCTTAAGGCACGCCCGCGGTGGTGTAAATGCACAAAACGGGGCGGTCCTCGACGGATATCCTTTACTACTTCTGCGCCTTCATCATGCAGCAGCCTTTACATACATATCGTCGATTCGTTGCTTTGTAATCACATTGACAATATTGCCCTGATAATATAAAAGCCGAACTCCGGAGCAGAATTAGATCGGCTCACAGATTCGTGCAGTCGGTAACTTCGTGCTCGCTTTTCCATAGGAGCTACGCATCCGCAGCGCGTAAGCATTGCGCAGCGCCGACGATTCGGCAGATTTGAACGTCTAAGCAGTACTTTCGCGAACGCAGCATGGGGCTCTAGAGTTGCGCTTGAGCTGACATGGGAACAGAGCTCATCATTGACACTGACGGTATGACGGTATAGAGGGGGTTGCGGGCTTTTCCCGATTTCAAGGATAAAGTTGTTGAACCATGCTATAGCATTGTTTTTCGTACTCTCTCGCTCAAAAACTGCCACGCTTGGTATGACACCGCCTCATACGAATCTGGGACCCGATGATATAAAATCACTGAAATGCTCTACTGCGGAGTGCAGGTTGCTACGGCTTCTGAGTCGGTGCGGTAGTGCGCGGTGTAATATCGGTATCATCTCGCTAAAAAGTCAAACTGAAGATTTTCCACTCACCTGGGCGACGTCCGCTAGATAAATTGTTGCAAACGAGGTTTTCTCCGAGCCGCAATTTTGAATCTGGACTGTTAGCAGAGCTCGTCGAGGTCAGAGGCGCAAAGTTGTTGGAAGACCCTTTGGTTATAGTAACTGTGTGCGGCTCCCGCACTCTTGCATGTATCTAATTGGTTGGGTAGAAGACTACAGTCGAGACTAGATTTTGCGCTTAAAGGCAGTGGATCGGCAGAATGAGACCCGTGGCAAAACAAGGTCACAGGGTAGGAGACCCACAATGGAACCTATGGGCCAAAGTTCGATCTTTCTCTGCCACTTCTAACCCCCGAAATTTCAAAGCAAAAGCAGCGCTCCTCTCTTCTCCTCTCCGACCCCGCCCACCCCAACGACGAGTGAATGCGAAGCCCGTCATGGTGAAGACGCAGAGTCATTGCGGGACCCTTATGCTTACGGCATGCGGCATGCGCGCTCTGACCGTGGAAGTCACTCGTCACGGGGGGGGGGGGGCAGGGTCGGAGAGGAGAGGAGATGAGCGCTGCTTCGCCTTGAAATTTCGGGGGTTAGAAGTGGCAGAGAAAGATCGGATTTTGCTTGATAGGTTCCATCAAGGGAGCTCCTACCCTGTGACCTTGTTTTGCCATGGGATTCATTCTGCCGATACACTGCCTTTAACATAATGTGCCTGCGGTCCGGAGAAATTGCGGTAAAATTTACGCGCGAACAAGTAGCTACCATCTGTTCCCGGATTAGTGTAGAGGTGGAGTCTTGCCAATTAAGGGCGCGGCGGTTTTTGATAGCGTGAGTGTACGAAAAACAATGCTGTGACGTGGAAGTTTAACAAGTTTTCCTTACAATCAGGGAAGTCCGCAACCCGCTTCCACACGAATTTGGGAGTGGATGATACGCCCGTGATACCGGCAGTTGCGCGCGAAAATGCCGACATTACTGGCGCGGCTATCTCTTCATGCGCAAGTTCTACCGCATTTCACCTACAGTGCAAGCACACTTTATTAAACACTGACGACCGCTTGACACACATGGTGTGTCAAGGCTTGACGTATAGTCGCCCTCACCCCACTAGTCGGTCGGTGGACGAATTCAAATTTGAATTGGAGCAGGCCTGTCACGGCAGAGCGCGGCAGGAGACAACGCTCAGCAGTTACAAAACTCAATATAGGTCAAAAACGTTGTAACAATACAAAAACTGCTAAGTAATGGCGAAGAAATACGCAAAGAGAATGCGTGAATTTGTACGGAGAGCTGAGGTGCCGTGCTCTGCCGCGACCTGTCTGCTCCAGTTCGAATTCGAATTCGTCTACCGACCGACTAGTGGGGTGACGACTGGCTGCACGTCAGGAGGTACGCCGCGCGCGGCGGCCGCTTCGCCGCGCATGCCGCGTCCTGATCTTGGGACCCACAAAGCTCCCCATATCAAAGACTCCCGGCGGCAAAAACGCGAGGGGGGGGGGGGGGTGGGGATGGAGGCAGGTGCTTGACTCAATGCCATAAGTAACATTGCGCCTGGAGTGCTGCTGTTGTATTGGTTGAAGTACGTTACGGCGTCGCTTCGCGAAAAATTCGCGCCGATCGCACCTCCTGACCGTCCCCCAGGACGACTATACCATGTGCGTGTTGAAATGAAAACTATTCTGTGTTAAATCCACTCCGGGAGTTCTCTTTTGTACTGGATCTAGACACAACCTTTACTGTTTTTGCCACCATTCCAGAGTTACTGTAGGGTGTACTGTAGACGAAATTGCGCGTGATTTTATCTAAAAAATGTTGACCGGTCCGTGAAACGCCTTGGTCGTCAATGTGTTAAGCGGAAATTCTACTCGACTGTATGCGTATAGTACTTTCCACGATTGCTGCTACTTTGCTAAGCGTTTCTGTCATGCGTCATCAGACAAACATGTTGGCAACATGCAAGAACAGGTTCCTTTCAAGGCTGACAGCCAACGTGTTGCTGCATGTTACCAACATATTTCATGCGTGCGGCAGATAGATATCAGAAACGCAAAGCGAAGATATCGTCCATTCCACTGTTGCTGCTACCTTTGGTCTGTGTCTCTGACCTGCGGCACGCATGACATTTTAGCAAAATGCAACATCGTGTTGGCAAGACTTCTTGGACCTTGATGTCAACGTGTTACTGCATGTTGTAAACATGTTAGCCAGCGTGTTGCGGGCCAGAGACGTAGACAAAGGATAGCAGCAACTGTGGGAGGGGCGACATTTGTTTCCCTACTCCAAGCATCCCCTGCTCTGCATAGGTCTAGTGCACTAGGGACATCTGCGCGCGCCGAGACAACCGCAGATATGGAAGGGAAGATTAGTGAATGGGTAAATTCTGTTGCGACTTGCATTAGCATTGCTCTCTCAAAGCAGAGCTCCTACTGTTGGAGGGAAACTGATTCTCTTGTCCCGATGTTTAGCATTCAGAAGTTTGGCCACGTTAGCTACAAATGACGGAGCTGTCATCACCCGAGCATCCGGAGTATAGTAAAGGTAACCCTGTTACATTTTACTGGAGAAGACCTATACAACACCTTTCTCCATAGATACCACCGCAGAGGTACTGGGAAACCTAAGGTCCGAAGTTGTGCATCCCACCTTCGCATATTATCTTACGAGAATGAGTATGGCAAGAACAGCTGAGGAAACTTTGGAAGTGTTTTCCGAGATGAAGAAGACTCCACATCTGACGGGTGCTTTCATCAAGTTGTGCTACCAGAAGCAAGTGAGCCTTATGTTTTCTTTCACAAGAGTTTTGTCTTTTCCACTTGTGAGAACAGCCACAACGACCCTTTTATGGAGAACATCAAGACCAGCCACCTAAAGGCAGAGGCTCGGCAGAATGACAACTTTGGGATATCCATCGCTCTCGGTTCCCCTGGACGAGCTAAGTCCAAGACTGCAGCTTTAAAAGATAACAATAACCCGCTTTTCCAGACTGAAAAGTGCTATTTGGGCGGACCGCGTATCTAGAGCGTGATTGGTTTGTGAGTGTAGACACCGTACCTATCGTACCCACGAGCCAATCGCGCTAGAGGGCAGACATACGCCGTCCGCCCCAATAGCACTTTTCACTTTTGGAAAAGCGGGTTATTGATATCTTTTAGAGCTGCAAAGCAGTCTTGGGCTTAGCTTATCCAGGGAAACCTAGAACGATGAATATCCCAAATTTGTCATTCTGCCGAGCCGCTGCCTTCAAGACCACATACCCAGTTGAAGATTAACCAAAGCACGAGACTTTATTTCAATACAGTCAAAGATGTTCTTCAAGTTGATGAAGTTGAGACAGAGAGCGTCCTTTCCATGCACGATACGTAGGTGACACGTTTGTATCGTCGATCCGTTGACCGCACGGACTGCTCAAACACTGCAGACCACGTGCGGCGCGGCTGAAACGTTGCGAGAACATGATTTATGCAATGGCGAATTTCTACTAGAGCAAGCATATTATCTCACAGGGAGCGCTCCGCGGTGATGTCCAGTCCATGCGGTCAACGAATCGACGATACATATGGTGCACCCCAAAAATGTTCCTATAGGTAACATTAACGTGGCTGCTTTTCAGTCGTTTTAACACATTAATTCCAGCAAATCTGAGGTGCTTATCCGAACTTGACATGTTAAAACAACATGTCGTTTGTATGCAGCACGGCCTTGCTGGTTTAATGAGAACGGTGCTTTCCTTCAAGTACTGCGTAAAGAGCTTTGCCATTCTTGATGAGGACTGATGACAGAAGTTTTGTCTTGTTGTCGGGACCGGGTGGATTTTCCGTGACGTATTTGTTGGGACGTTTCGGAACCCAAATCTCACAGCTGTTTTGGGTGGGTGTAGGTTTTGATGGAGGCAGACTCCTCATCCCATATCCCTCAAGACCGCCCCGCTGCTTATCGCTGCAAGAGTTGAGTCGCTTTTGATGCGACGAAGCGTAGCCTACGACCGGTTGGTCCTCTGTGAAGGATTCTCTGTGCCATGACAGTATCTCGACATTTGACATCCTGCTCTGGTTGACTAGTCCCCGCCGATGGCGATGGGCGTTTAGCATTCCAGAATACATCGCCCAATAAAAATCTCGGGTTTAGCCAAAATCTTGCATACGGGGTTATTTGACATGCTGAACATGAAAATTATATTCATTTTGTACGAAAGGACCATTTTATGGGGTTACGCTAGGTAAATATCACATCCATTCCTGAATAGCGCCATATGGTGGCCAGCAATTGGTCTATTATATAATGCGAAGACTAGAGGACATTGAGGTGGGGATTAGCCACTTGGCGTCGCCAAAGTTTTCGGTCTCACCCAAAGTCCCGCCTCTTGACCGCAACATCGAGATGATCGCTCCCCCCCCCCTTCAAACTTCCTTACCGAATCAAAGGAAAATCAGCGATTCTCTCTAGGTTTGTTGAACGTTATGCTCGAAAACCTAAAATATACAAAGCATGTTCTAAGTCACGCGTGCTAGTTTAAACCAGGGCCCGGCACCGATGGTTTGAGGTCAAACTGGACTTTGTTTTTGGAGTTAGAAGCAACGGGGACATCGTTTTTATGAGGTCCTGGAGAAGCGCCAGAAAAAAAAACTCGACGAACATGTCAGGTCCCACGAGTTGAACGTGTTCTTTCGCAAGCGCGCGAATTTCAAATGCAAGACTCTAACAAACAAATGGCTTGTTTACAGCGCACAAACAATCACATGGCTCCAAATTTGGGCTATGTGTATACAATTACTCCAAACTATGTTATGTAAAAAGTTCCCAAAACTTATGTGTCCTAATATCCGTTCTCGAATTTGTTGGTTTCTAGACCAACTACCAAACCAACTGGGTTGGTTCGGAGCATAAATATCGGAGAGTTCACATAAGTTTTGGACCCTTTTGATTTGGACGATTAGAACGGTCAAAAATCTATCATTTAGTGAAGAGATCGGACCAAACCGTTGCCCCTCCCCTTTATTTAAGTCAAAAGTAGTATAATTCTACGCGTTGATAGATATCGCGCTCCAATCACTTGCGATGTCCTTTGAAATATGTGGCGAAAAATGCATCGCAGGATTGTTGAGGCTACAGATTTGGTTGACCTAGGAGATTTTCGTCATTCCCAGCATCAAAATGGTACTATACCCTATGGCAGAGCCTAAAATCGACTCGAAATGTTTTCTTTTTGCTTTTTTGTTATATTACATACCTCAAAATGTGCTTTTTTCGCTCTTTTGTTACTATTTTGGTTGAATAAGGGTTTCCCTACTGATTTTCACGTCGAGAGGGACTACGTAAACTTTCGCGAAGTCATGGGGGACTTCGTTTCCTAAAAACCTCCAAACCAACGCGTGCCGGGCCCAGTTTTAAACCTAACATTTTGACAATATGGCTGTGTTCCGTACGATGGAGCTGCGCCGCTTAGACCAAGAACTGCTTGATCTCACGCTTGCCGACGTGTATGAGAAGTTGAGAATGGAAGAGGAAGACTTCGAGAGCTGGCTCAGAACGATTGGACTTCTTGCAACATCCAGATGTCCCACATGTGGCCGTCCGATGAGCCTCTTCGCACCCAGGAAGCCTTGGTATCGCCATAGGAGGGATTGTCGCGCCAGACCAATGGAGCCACAAAGCCAATTATGCTGGCCTACAAAAATTTATTCTTTGCGTGTGAAATTCCGCTTCAGAAGTCTTTTGCGCTGCATTATTTCTGGCTGCGGGTTAGTGGAAGATAAGGAGTATAGGCCGTCCGCGTTGCGCACAGAGAGCAACGCTGTTGCGCCCGATGAAGATAGTCATGACTGGGAGAAGCGCGGAAAAAACAGGCGGCGAGAGTGCACGGGGAAAAAGGAGTGGACGGCCTATACGAGCTGGAATGGGCTACACCACCACCGTGCATTGGGAGCAGTGCTTCCGAGATGTTTACGAGTACTTCAGGAGGAACCGCGCAGTTTTGCCTGGGGACTACCATCGTCAGCGACTGCTGGCGTGCTTACAATGGAATGGCATCTCTACCGCAGGGATACTGTCACTTGACGATAAGCCTCCAGATAAATTTTGTTGGCAAACACTTCGAAAGGCACGGGCAAAATTCAAGAGGATGGCGAAGCAAAAATGTGGCATCAAAAATGTGGCACTCCTTGAGGTAGCCGCTACGTCGGCTATTTCAAGCAGTTCCTATGGAGACAGACGTTCGACTAGCTGAGGAGGCTTTATACCTTCTGGAGGTAGGTGGGTGACTAAAGCCACCTTGAGTACACAAGGCTACATTGGAACAATTTCACCAATAAATGTAATATTCGTGGTAAGCAGGTCGGATCATTTCTGTGGACCAAATTTCAGCACAAGCAATAACAAATATAATATTACTCTCCAACTTCTCCCTCCTTAAACTATCAATTGTATGGTTTCTTTGTCGGGTTCACCTCGATGCGCTGTGGTATTCGATCTGTCCTTTGTGACCGGTGGCGCACTGGCGGCAGGGACGGTAGAGTGGCGGAAACATCAGCGTCCAGTAGTTCGGCATCGGCGGCTGCGACATGGGAAGTTGGCGGTGTGCCATCAACAAGAATGGCATCTTGAGAAGCGGGAACATTAACGGAAACGGCAGACTACGGTATAGGGAGCTAAAGATCCAGAAGGTTGGACTCTCTCAACAGCGTGGTGTTGGCGTCGGGAACTGCGCGAGGGCGTAGCTGGTTGGCATAGCGTCTCCATGCAAATGCTTCGACATTCACGTTGAGAGTGGGCGCCCAATCCTTGATCGTACACCTCCTGGAGTACAAGTAGGCTTCAATAGATTGTGGTAGTCACGGGTGCAGACAACTTCGTTAACTTCGAATCTCCTTTTCTTGGCTCCATGTCGGCGTAGCTGTACATAGCTTTCATCGACGGTTTCGATCCAGGGGAGACTTTGGTGGGCAGTCCAAGTTTCAGTAACCAAACGTGAGAGCGGTGTATCGATCCTTCATCCAAGAATCATCTCGGTAGGCGAAGGATTTTCAGGCGAAGACGACCGGAGTGTAACGATAGCAGAGTATTAGCTTCGACAACGCTTACGGAAGCTTTCCTTCCCCTTTCAGCTTCAGGAGTCCCCTCTTGAAGATTCCGACGAAGCGTTCAGCGATACCATTCGACTGTGGGTGGAAGGCGGCGTCCGAACTTATTTGAGCTAATTCCTGCAGAAATCCTCGAAATATTGGGAAGAGAAATGCGTGCCGTCATCCGAAACAAGCGTTTCCAGGAATCCCAACCTGCTGAAGATGTTTAAAAGTAAGTGCGTTGTAGCTGGTGATGTGGTCGACGGCATCTATACGATTTCAGGCCAGCGGGAGTATGCATCTACGACGATGAGGCACATGTGTTCATAGAGCGGTCCCGCGAAATTAATAACAGGCGTTCCATCGGGCGGCTTGCGATCAGCTTTGAAGTTAATTCAGCCTTTATTAAATCTTGGCGGCAAGTTGGTAAGTCTGGCAGCGTTCCACAGTCTTCTTGACGTCTTCTTCTATACAAGGCCAGTAGACGTAGTTGCGAGTAAGCAGTTTCATTCGGGTTTGTCCAAGATGTCTATCGTGTAGCATACAGAGAATTTTCCCTCTCAGCGAAGCTGGTATGACGATCTTGGATCCAACGAAAATGCATCCATTGTAACAAAGAGTTTCTTCTGTTGGCTCCTATAGTTGAACAAGGACGTTCCTGGGAGTGCATTTGGCCACCGTCCTGTTCGGAGGCATTTGAGCAGCTCCATCA